AACTACCCATGAACCTCCAAGCGGGCTTGGATTTTGGAGTCGAGGGTTCCGGGGGGTTGAAGGGCTGAGGGCTTAGGGCTTTAAGGGTGTAGCGGCTGCGTTTCCAAGGGTTTAGGGCCTTAGGGTTCAGGATTTTCCATCGCGACTTGGGGTTTAGTAGATGAATGGATATAGACCCTAAACCCTAAGCCCTAAACCCTAATAGGACTTTGAGGGTTTGCAGGGTCCCCTGAGGTGGTTTGAGGCACTTTGAGGCAGTTGAGGTGGTGGATTACTTGGAAGTTCATGGGTAGTTATAAGTGGAGGTATAAGTCCCCTAATATAGGTCATAGCTGTAGTTACCCTACTTATGACCCTACTTATAACTACCCATGAACCTCCAAGCACTCTTTTTGGGATGCCGCAAGCAATCGTTTGCATCATCCCGCCAACGCTTCCCCTAAGCTGTGACTTCGAATTCTTTGGAATCCGGAGAGTTTCGCACGGCTCTTGCGTATACTCTTGGAAAAAGGAAGCTACAGGTGGGGAGTTTAGGGTATATAGGGCTTCTATAAGGCTTCTATAAGGGACATAGACCTTCTAAAAGGCGCCTATAACGGTAACTAGCCACCTGAAAATGTCCTAGACTTGGAAAGATAGGGACCACAAGGGATGATTTTCACCAACTGCCCAAGCATATTGAGCCACCCAAAGTCCCAAAGCTCGGAACACTTAAACCCTTGTAGAACCCCGTAACGCAAACCCCGTTACAGGAACCCCTGAACCCCATCCCTGCTTAGAGCCTGTGGAAAGCCCCGCAATGAGCACCCTATCAACCCTCTCCGCCCCGCCACAAGAAAGAAAGATCCACTTGCCACAACCCTGAAACAAACTCCTTGTAGAACCCCGGCAGTAGCCCTTATCCTCATAAACACCCCTGAACTTCTGAGTTGACCGGTTGGTTTCAGAAAACAAGGGACCCTCAACGCAGCACCGGTTTTCTATCCCGCAAAGCAGTCCTTTCTGAATTTCGAACCTTAAGTAGTCTAGATCTAACAGCCCCAAACCCCCTTAGAGCCCTCCCAAATCCTGTGACTCTGGCATCTGCTTGTCTAGAACTGCTGCTGCCACCCCGGCCGTCCTGTCTTTGGCGGCGGTCATTTGGGAGTTGGGGTTTAGGGTTTGGGCGGTTCTAGGGTTTGGGGTCTAGGGAGTGAGCAATTCTAAGGTTTTGGGAGTTCGGGTTGAGGGAGTTTGGGGGGTGTTTTGGAGTTGAGGGCTTTACCTGGGAGTTGGGAGGCTCTGGCTTTCGGGTCCGTGGGGCATTGGAATTTCCGACAGTTGAAGGACCCAAATCTAACACATGAACACAAGTTCCTACTTGTAAGAATCCTTGAATAAATCAGCCCAGTCTTCTTCCCTTGCTGGGGCGGGAGCAGACCATATAGCTCAGCTTCGGATGTCGGATTCTTTTTTGCAACTACTATCAGTTACTATCACTGTTTCGGCCATAAGTACCACTGCTCTTGTGAGTCGTTTCTGATTTAAGTGCGCATCCCTAAACCCTAAACCCTAAACCATCTGTCTGCTGCAGTTGTAGACTTTCCCCTTTGGGCTGGAGACGGCAAACCACACATCCAGGGCTTAGGGTTTAGGGTTTAGGGTTTAGGGTTTAAGTCCAAACCAACGGCCCAAAAACCTTAACATGGGAGTTTCCGAAAATTAAGGGGGTACCTTATTTGGGGGTCCATATAATAAGGATCCTACTATTTAGGGTACTATATTAGGTCCCCCTATTTTCGGAAACTCCCACATGAATCCTAAGCTCAGACAACTAAAAGCAGCCGGAAGCCTAAAACTGATACCCTGAGCTCAAACCCTGAATCCTCAAACTTGAGCAGTCGTGTAGACCCCCTAGTTAATACACCTACCCTATCCTTACTGTTGATGGACAAAATCCTGCATTACCCATTATAAGGAATATACCATAATTCCCATAGTTTAAGGTCCTTAAGGTCATGCAGGATTTTGTCCATCAACAGTATGGTGGGTCCTGAAAGATAGGCGGCATAGTAGTCAAAGAAGTCTACATTGCGCGCGGAGACGCCATAAGCCCTGTTTAGAAGCCCCAGAAAAAGCCTTACGAATCCCTCTCCAAGATTCCAAAACCAACCCGTAGGCCCTAAATCATAAACACAAAATTCCCAAAGCTTTTCAGAACTCCTTAAACCCTACCCTAAAACCACAAACCGTACATCCTAGATCCGAAACCATTGCAAACACCCTTAGTCAGGATGGCTCTATGTACCCTATTCGGGGTGATACGCCGTTATAACTATGGCGATCGCGACCGACACCGCAGTCATCCAGCTCTGCATCGGCCTCGGGGGAGGAGCATTGACACTGTCGCTGATGTTTGTCACCTCGATGTCGATGGCGGCCATGCATCCCAACTTGGAACCATAAGGGGGTTCTATAAAGGGTCCTATCAGGGGTCTATAAGGGGTCATACTTGGAGGTTCATGGGTAGTTATAAGTGGAGTTGTAAGTCCCCTAATATAGGTTATAACTATAGTTACCCTACTTATACCCCTACTTATAACTACCCATGAACCTCCAAGAACGGCAATGTGATGCCGAGTGCCAGGAATAGCACTGGGAGGTCACACCAAGTGACGGTGCAAAGTCACGCATTCAGCACAGTCAAGTTCTTCAGCCGTTTTGGCCAAAGCACAACCTGCAGGTTGCCACCTGACAACACCGGGTCTCAGGGTTATGATGACCATCTCACGATGTCCGTTCACGCGTGCCCACGACTTTTCGAACGCAAAAGGAATCATAAGGTGGCTTTCCAGTCCGTTACAGTGCATCAGCTCCCTGCAGAAGTACTCTTTCGTGACTGTGGCGACGATGCCGACCCCCCGCAGGAGGTTGCCCTAAACCCCTAAACCCCTAAACCCCTAAACCCCCCTAAACCCTAAACCCTAAACCCCCCTAAAACCTAAACCCTTACTTGCTAAGTCCCTGATCCTATAAGCTTTTCCATCATTGCCTCGCCCCGGCCGCGATCGTGGAAGGCCTGCCAGGGTAGCTGTGATGTCTTCTTACTTATACGGGTAGTTGCAGGTAAACTGATGTCTGCATAGGCTCTGCAAGGGTTTATGAAATCTTTTGGGGTTGTTTGAGAGGTTACAGGCTTTCTAGAGGCTTCAGCGAGCTAATACGGAATCCCTTATCCGTTGCCTGTTTCTGGCACACTCGGGGCAACATGGCTTGAGATATAGCACGTTTTGCGGCCTTGCATCCCAGGTATGTCCATGTTGGCACTGCCACAGAACTTTCGTTTTGGCGCTTTTATACCCGATGGCCAGGCCCTTGCCACCCAGTGCCGCGGCGCGGTCGTGCAGTCGATCGAGCATGCTCTGCTGTCCGGCGCCTAGGCTGTCTGGGCCCTTGCTAACCTGCAAATCATTCGGTTTCTGTGGCTCCACAAGAACATCCCCGCCACCGGCACTTCACATGCCCCAACTGCCGCAAGTTGTGACATAGCAGGCTTGTCAGTTGGCTTGCCTGTCCTTCCCATGAAACACCAAGCCTTTGCAAATGCTTGACCAGCATCCTGCGCGCCGTGAAGGCGGCTGGCAAAAGCCAAAGCTCCTAAGCCCCTGAACTCCTAAAACCCTGAACCCTTAAACCCTAAACCCCTAGACCCCTAAACCCCAAACCCTCCCTAAACCCTAAACCCCAAAAGCCAAACATCAAACATTCCAATGAATGCAACTTCGAACCTGAACACAGTCTGCAACCCAAACACCTCCAGCAGCCGCGCAGCTCTACAGCTTATAGAGAACACAACATAGCCAAGCAAGAGCCATTTAAACCTGAGAAAGCCAAGTAAAACCAAAAGAGCCTTGCGAAGCACAACCCCAATCCCCACCAAGCATCCACCATTTTCTTGGAAACTCACTCCCCTCCAAGCCCACTTACAGTTCCCCTATCACTTTCCTATAACAAAGTTATAATGATGTAGGCCCTGATATGTTTACTGTAAGATACCCTACAGACCCGGCTTGTCGCCTGCATCGCAATGCTGAGGGCTTCCTGGATTTCGTCGCGCTGCCGGGCAGTGCAGGTGGACACGAAGTGCACCTTTTGGAGTCATCTGGGTTTAGAAATCGGTGCTTGGGCTTCATGCCCAGGGACTCCAATATCCCTTAATTAAGGTATATACCTGAAATCATATTAGGGATCCTACTATAATTTAAGGTATATTCCTTAATTAAGGGATATTGGAGTCTCTGGGTGCTTCCAGACCTTACAGTGCCTTGGGTTTGGATTCAGTTGTTGAGATTCCTGGCCAAACACAAGCCTGAGAGGGCGATCAGGGCTGGGTTAGAGAAGCCCGAAAAGGTTGCACGCCACCTACAGCTGCTAATTTGAGGAACTGGAGTCAACTATACTGAACTTAGACCCCTAGCAAAAATTATAATTTCAGCTGCTTCTTAGGGTTTATAGTAGCGAGGATTAATACCCCTAAGTCAAGTTGCCAATGGACCATTGCGGCGGTCATGTCAAGGGCCGACTGAAGTTCGGCTCTCTGCCACTCCCGCAAGCAGCTATGCTTGAAGGTTCATGGGTAGTTATAAGTAGGGTTATAAGTAGGCTAACTATGGTTATAACCCATATTCGGGGACTTATAACTTTAGGGTTAAGGGTTTAGGGTTGAGGGCTTTAGGGTTTAGGGTTTAGGGCTTACAACCCAAGCGCTCACGTGGGGCTACTTGCTCGTGCTCCGTGCTGCTTTCCCCCTTCGTAGCAAAGGCTTTATAGAGCTTTCCAGGTTTCCTTGAAGTGCTTTACAGGGTGTTTGCAGCAATAGAAGTCACCCTGATCATCGGAATTGCCAGTAGTAGTGCTACATCTCGTACGGAAACATATCTGAACTCATCATGGTGGTAACGCTTCCCGCAAGATTAGTGACGCCAGCGAGGAAAGCGGATAAGAAAGAGCAGTGAGGCTGGGGGCACTAACGAGTAGGCACGGGAACAAGCAAAAGACTTGCCGTGCAGCTAGGCGAAAAGACAAGTCAGAGCAACAAGAGCAGAAAGGAGCAACGAAACCGTAAAACTCAGTGGAGCAGGACTAGCGCTCAACAGCTTAACCCTAAACTCCTAAACCCTAAACCTTTAGTCCCAAATTCTAGAAACCCAAACCGTGCAATCGTTCATCCCCGCCTGGAGCCCTGAACGGTGTCAATCGAACGCTAGAAGTACGGGCCCCTAATATGGACTCTTAGGCCTTTCTAGGGTCCCTTAAGGGTTCATATAGGGTATATAGTAGGTATATAAGGGTCCCAGGGTTAAGGGCCCATACTAGGGGCCCATGGGTTCAACCTTAGAGCCCAACCCTAGACCCCCAAACCCCTATGAAACCCCCAAGAACAAGCAAAAACATGGAGCCCCTGCTACACCCTAAACCCTAAACCCCTAAACCCCTAAACCCCTAAGCCCTAATCTTGAACCCCAAACCTCAACCAGAAGCTCAAACCCAACAGTGTTTCCCCTGTTCCCCCAAATCCAGACTTGGAGGTTCATGGGTAGTTATAAGTAAGGTTGTAAAATAGGGTAACTATAGTTATAAGCATTATAAGCTATATTAAGGGACTTATAAGCCCACTTATAACTACCCCTAAACCCTAAACCCTAAACCCTAAAACCCTAAACCCCTAAACCCTAAAACCCATGAACCTCCAAGCATCAACGAAAGGGCACCTGCTTCCCCTGCAGCGGCGGGGCCACGGGATCCTTCGACCGCCATAGCTTGCTCCTGAGATTTGGGGTCTTTTTTTATAGGAGCCTGAATATTTAGAGTGTCGGGTTTAGGGTTTAGGGTTTAGGGCTTTAGGGTTTTGAGGTTTAGAGTTCAGAGTGTGTTTTTCAGCTCCATGGTTATTTTTTTAAGAGTATGGCAAAAGTTCTATTAGGAACTATAAGGGGTAAAGATTCCCATAAGGTACTCTGGGATCCTCTGCGGCTTGGGGTCTTTAGGGTTTGGGTGTAGGGTGGACGGTCTAGGCTTCTCGGTTTCGGGTTCAGGGAACTGAGGGATTTAGGGTGCTCGGAGGTTCATGGGTAATTATAAGTAAGGTTATAAGTAGCTATAGCTATAATCTAAATCACGGGTTGCAGAGAATTTTCCTGACCGGTGCCCAAAAGGTCTTTCAGGGGATCTGTGTGCGTCTTAGATGGGCTTACCATGGCTCCTGCATCTGCATGTAGAGTTGAAGGTCCGCGGACCAGGTAGGAATGCTTACTTGGAGGCTCATGGGTATATAAGTGGAGGTATAAGTCCCCTAATCTAGGTTATAACTATAGTTACCCTACTTATAACCCTACTTTTTAACTACCCATGAACCTCCAAGTAGGAAGGTTCAGCTTCTGTTGATTTCCTTTCGAGATCCTGCAAACTGGGTCCAAGCTTCAGAGTTGATTAAGACAGGAGGATTTGGCAGCTGCAGGATACATCAACGAAGCCAACCCAGCAACACAAGAAAGGACACATAAGGTTCCAAAAAATCGAGCTTGGTGGTTAAGATTTGGGCTTCAAGATTTCGGAGCCCTAAAACCCCATACCCCAAATCAGTGAGACCGAAAGCCCTGCTCGACGAGCTGCTGCATCCAGACTTCGCGGACTTCGCAGGACTCAAGAAGGCTTGAGAACACGCCTCGGCAGACCCATGGAGCTATCAATTTTTGTAAGCAGGGAGTTTGGAGTTTACCGTTTGGGTAGGAGGTCTCTCTCTCGCTCTCTCTCTCTCTCTCTCCATTATATATATCAATATATATACACGTATATATATATATATATATATAGAACATAATGTATAGAAACTGGTGTTTGATGCTGAAAACTGCAGAAACAGCAGGAAACCATAGTATGCAGCTTATGACCGGACAAAGAGCAGACAGCCAGCAAAGAGCAGACAGGTAGCTGCCCTAAGACAGCCCGCCTTCGCACATTTCTTTTTCTGCACATTCTTCGCTTCGGGTGCAGGTAATGCTACCCTCATACTGTTGATGGACAAAATCCTGCATTACCCATTATAAGGAATATACCATAATTCCCATAGTTTAAGGTCCTTAAGGTCATGCAGGATTTTGTCCATCAACAGTATCCCTACACAATCAACCACACAAGCAGACCCGTGATCGTCTTCCCATTTGCGGGTGAAGGTTGAACTGAGGTCCAAAGGGGATTTGAGATGCTTGGGCTTGCTCTCTTGGTTTAGGGTTTAGGGTTTAGGGTCTCTACTATGGTGCCGCTTATTGGCACACTAAAACCAACAAACACGCCATCGGCAAAACGGCGAAACCTCACAACTCCAAACCCTAAACCCTAAACCCTAAACCCTAAACCCTAAACCTTAAACCCCAAACCTGAAACCCTGGAGCCCAACTCAGAAACCCTATGAAAGGTTGAGGGATCCTCCAGGCTGGCGAGGCTCCGGCAGCAAATTCGGGGACGACGTTGAGCTTTGGGCTTGGGGCTTTACTTAAGTTTTGGGCTTGACAGTTTGGGGGGTGTTCGAGTTTGAGGTGAGGGTTCTGGGTTGTATCCAGTGTGGGAATCCGGAAAAGATGGGGACCCAAATAGACCCGGAGTGGAAGGATCCCTTTTGAAGCCTATTTGCTAATTGACTCAGTGCCAAAGGGTGCAAACTAGAGCAAAGAGCGCAGACCCCGAGGCTGTAAAACATGTGGAACTCGACCAACCAAAAATGGTGGGAGACTATACCGCAATAACAGCCTTGGGAGCTAGGATTAGGGGGACCCTTGGGGATATACACCCTCTCAATAAGGTCCCTTTTAAGAGAGCCAAAAGTAGGGTTCAGAAGGGGTACCCTTTAAGGGGTACGCCTAAAAATACTACCTAAGCCTACAGCGACCAATTTGTCCGAGTGGCGTCCGTCGTTGCTTGCGAGAGCACTATGGAGGTTCCTGAATAGCCGGCAAAGAAGATCACTCGGTATATCTCAGTAGCGCAGCTTAGCGGTCTGTATAGCTGGTGCGTTTCCGCTGTGTCTCTTCAGATCATCTGTTGGCAATCATGCTCCTGTTGTCATCAGAGTCCATGGTTCTCATCATCAGAAATGCTAGCACCGCCATCATCACCATCATCATGATTATTCTGTTCCATCTGGGTCAGCATCCGCAGGAGCATCGGCCTGACACTGCAGGTGTCAGTGTGGGCCACGGCAAGTAAGAGAACCATCCAAACAAGAGCGAGGTTTCATCGCTTCAGGTGACTCGGCTATCGCCCCGCGCTGTGGCATGCAAACCTTGTCACGAGTCCTTGCCATGTTCCTTCGGAGCAAGCGCAGCGTGTCAGATCGAGCAGCCTGTGACTACTGTCGTCCTTGGATGTCAACAGATGTTGCGCGTCGGCCAGGGCATCTAGCACGACCGGAACGGGCATGTGCTGCCACTCGTCGGAAGCCTGGATGTAAGGCTAGTCAGCCGTGCCGGCCTATTCCAGCCTGGCGAACAGCACCTCCGCAATGTTGGGATCTGGGACGGTCCCGCTCACAGCAGGGGCCGCAGGACGGCCGGTAGGAACAGCAGGGTCAGCGGCAGGTGCAGCAGAGCCTCCAGCGTCGACAGCTCCAGAACGAGCCGCCGTGTCTGCAAAACCGAGGGAGCCACCAGCACGGCCTGTGCTCGATGCTGCCTGGCTCAGGTCAGGAGGCGGCCCAACAGTCGGAGCCCAAGGGTTTAGGGTTTAGGGTTTAGGGTTTCGTTACTGTCGGCCCTGTTCCAATTACCGAGGCCCCTATACTACATCCTTATCGCAACCCATATCTTAAAGGAGCCCAGTGCAAAAAACCCATTCCAAATCTAAACCCACCAGGGGCCCCCTGCGACCCCTCAACAAGAACGTTGCCCTTTTTCCTACTATTCAGTTTACATGCGGGCACTACTGGGGAACCCAGTAAACTAATCCAAAAGACAAGAGCCAGTATTTCCTAAGTATTTGACAAGACCAAGAGACTCCAATATCCCTTAATTAAGGAATATACCTCAAATCATGTTAGGGATCCTACTATCATCTAGGGTATATTCCTTAATCAAGGGATATTGGAGTCTCTAGGGAACTACCGGCAACTGCTGGAACCGAGGGCTGAAGATTCCGTGGCAAGAGCAATTTAGGGGACTTCATAATTCGAATACGGGTGTAGGGGTTTGGTACAGGGGTCTCAGTTTCATGGGGTTTGGTGCAAAAAAAGCTTTACCATTGTATTCAAGAACCCTCCCTCAGAATAGTGGTTGGGCAATCAGTCACGCTTCAACTAATCTGCTAGGTCTATGCCAAGTAGCCCTGAAAAGACGCCCATGCAATCTGCAAGAAGCTCCGGTAACGAGTCCGTTCCCCACCAAATCTCGTTGTCTAACCCTTCTTCCCTAAACCCTAAACCCCAAACACTTCTTCCCAGCCCAACTTGGGAGTTTCACACAACGTAAGGACGCCAGCATAGCTGGGATCCGTGTTGTAACGACCTCTCAATATACCTACTTCCTGACCCTGAGAAACCCCACACTTATCTATGAACAAAATGTTGTCTGAAACTCTAATGTTTGCTGGTGTCATATGTCTCTAAGCCGTAACTATTTATAGCGACATGTAAAACAGACCCCCCATTCCATTAAGTCGTGGCCCTAAACTACATGATTTAACTCCTTCTGTGAGGATCTCTCAGACCTTCAAGGCCGTGCGAAGCCTTTGCACCAGATCTTCTATCACCTTCTCAGACTTTTTTTAGGGTCCCATGATACTTGTATGCAAGCTCCTATAAACCTTCTGAAACCTTTCAAGGGCCCCCTAAACCCTAAACCCTAAACGTCTGCCAAACTTAGAAAAACCTCCTAAACTCTAAACCCTCAACCCCCTATACTCGTCTGCTGCCGTGATTCGGTCCGTAAGCGGATCGCAGTGCCCGCTCCGACTCAGACCACCTCAGCACGGGGGGGTCGTGCTTGGAGGTTCATGGTAGTTATAAGTAGGGTTATAAGTAGGGTAACTATAGTTATAAGTTATAACCTATATTAGGGGACTTATGACTCCACTTATAACTAGCCATGAACATCCAAGTGGGTTCAAGGGGGGAGGGGTCTGCTGAAGGAACCGACTTGTGTTGGGTTTAACGGCTGCAATACTTGGAGGTTCATGGGTAGTTATAAGTGGAGTTAAAAGTCCCCTAACATAGGTTATATCTATAGTTACCCTACTTATAACCCTACTTATAACTACCCATGAACCTCCAAGTAGGGTCCTGAAAGCTTTTCTTGTTTACCCGGTCTCTGTAAGGATTGGTATTGGGGTTAATTCTGTTGATGGACAAAATCCTGCATGACCTTAAGGACCTTAAACTATGGGAATTATGGTATATTCCTTATACAGGGTAATGCAGGATTTTGTCCATCAACAGTTACTCTAAGGGCTTGGTATCTAGGCCTGGGCAGTTGGAACAGGGTTTTTGGGTTATGCCATACTGAAGTTCTAACGAGAAACCCTACGAACCAACATGACGTTCACGCTTCAATGTTAGGGTTGTGGCTTTCGGGCCTGAGTGAGGGTTTCAGGATTTGGGGTCTGACGGCTTCGGGTTTAAGTGTCTAGGATCTACTGTATGGTCTGGTGGCTGCATGCACTTCTGTTTCAGCTGTTCTGGCTTGGGGTGCATTGCCGCTAGCAAGTCGAGCTCTTTTCCATCGCCGGGGGTGTGGGTTTGAAGCTCTTGGGACTATTTTTTTCAATGAGCCAGGGCTTCCGATTAAAACTTTCTAAAACACCATGCTCGGCGTAGCTGACTAAATTCACAGCTACGCCTGGCCAAATGCGGACATGTATATCGATGCCCATTCGTGTTGTGTGCAGTTACATTTTTGTTTGCGTCCCTGTGAGCTTTCATGACATGGGCTGCACTATCGTGCCACCGTAGAGCTCAAGTGTTGCTCTTCGTGCAAGTGCTAGAGCATTGCAGCACGTGTGCGAGGGATTGTGGGGGCGGGTGGTCTGGAATACAAACTAAACCCAAATCCCTTTACCGCAAGTTTCTGCGAATGTAGAGGTCTTAACAATGAGACCCGAGCTGTGGGTATCATTATGGTATCATTATACGCACTATAGGGACTCTCAAGGGGGTCAATCCATATGAGTTGCTAAACTCTGGGGACTGATGCCCCCAAAGAAGTGGAGCCGCCGAGGTCAGCACCAAGCGACTACATCACCCTCCTCTGCATCTTGTTCTGACCTCATCAAGTTCAGGGCAGGGTTGTCCTCTTGCAGGAAATCGACAGAGCCGCGGGCCCGATACATCAATATTAACTAGTTATAGGGGTTACATGATGAGCATAGCTTTTGTGGATATATGCTTGTAACCTAAGTAAAGCAAGGAACCCTCGGGACTTGTACTTTACCAATCAGCTTGAGCCCCTTTCAGAGGATTCCTTCCAAGAAGGTACCGCAGCCGACCTCTCTCGTCCGCTCTAAGTAAGTCTAAGGTTGAACCCATGGGCCCCTAGTACCTACTATATACCCGAAAGGCATAAGGGTCCATATGAGGGGCCTGTACTTCTAACCTTAGAGTAAGGGAACCTGTAAAGGGGCAACCCTCGCTCAGGCGGCTCAGGCTGTAAGCGCTCTGCTTTTCCTGTTTTCAAGACACAATCTCTAAACCCAAAACCCTAAATTGCCATTTTTTTGCCTTGGGCGTGCAGCCTATCTGTCGTTACCGTTCCGGCCTTTGAGATCTGTGTCGTTTCGTTTCTGGCTCAGGCTGAAAATTGATGCCTGGTGCTGGGAGGGCCCAAGCACATATTTCGCCCAGCAAGTCAGCATCAATTTGGGCTGTGCTTGGGGCTTGCTTTCCGTCACTGGGTCGAGACACAGTACGTGCTAAGGTCGATGAATCTAACCCATCTTTAACGCGGGTTGCTTGCAGGTTCATGGGTAGTCATAAGTGGAGTTATAAATCCCCTAATATAAGTTATAACTATAGTTACCCTACTTATAACTTCCCATGAACCTCCAAGTGCCCGAGCTACCCGAAAGTTGCTGCTAAGGACCGGGCCCCGCCCCCGTTCTCCCACGCCCCAATGCTAAGCACCCGGCCGTATGCAGTCACGGATGTAATGTAGAGGATTAGCAATCAATCATCGTCTTACTACGTGCTCCAAAATCTGAAAGTTCATGTCCCGAATTCCGTCCTGAGCCCTTGTGAAACCCCGTAAATCCGTTCAAGACTCCACAAGAAATAACCCTCCTCACCGAAGCTTTCCTGGGCCACCCCGACGCTTGCGCAGAGATGCAGTTCTCCGCGTCTCGGTGGGTTTGGAAGCGCACGTAGCCCTTGGCATTGAGCCTGCGGTCCTTGGGTCGGTGGACAGGGTCCAACTATGATGATAACATAGGAGTAAGGTAGTCAATATGTTATGCTAGAGATGTTGCATGATACTTATAATAGAACCGTGTTTTACGTATGCGATCATAGCATAATATACGCCAAAAACCCTTGTTCCAATCATGAGGCCGTGAATACTGACGTGTACAGACTTACTTGGAGGTTCATGGGTAGTTATAAGTGGAGTTATAAGTAGGGTAACTATAGTTATAACCTATATTAGGGGACTTATAACTGCACTTACAACTACCCCTAAACCCTAAACCCTAAACCCTAAACCCTACCCATGAACCTCCAAGTAGGGTTGAGGGCTTGGGGATAAAGGGGAAAGGCCTCGGGTTCAAGCTTTGGGATCTCGGGCTGTAGAGCTGCTTGGAGGCTCACGGGTAGTTATAAGGCTCCTTTAAGGGATCGATAAGGGGTCTTATAAGGGGTCATACTCGGAGGTTCATGGGTAGTTGTAAGTGGAGATATAAGTCCCCTACTATAGGTTATAGCTATAGTTACCCTACTTATAACCCTACTTATAACTACCCATGAACCTCCAAGTGGGGGGTTTGAGGGCTTTCAGATGTATGGTCAATGGTGCAGTTCTGCATCGTTTCTGCGGGCACATCAGGACAGTACAAAGCAGTCATGGTCAAGCAAGCGCAACACATGGAGCTTTTAAAGCGATCACGGACCCCCTTTCCCCCTACACAACAACGATGCACACCATGATGGCATCAAGTGTAGGTCTGTATTTGCCAGCGCTGTGAATATTTATCTGGACGATCTGGTAGGTCTGCACGTGCTCAAACCGGCATTGGGAAACGGAATGCAGACTTAGCACATATCATGATGCGCGGGTACAGCAAGAGCTCCATGTCAAGCAGGAGAAACCCCTCTTGTCAAGCCTTTGAAGGGGTGTGGCCAGAGTGGCCTATTCATATAGAGTCATCAGTACTTGGGGTTTAGGGTTTGGGGTAGAGTATATAGTATAATGATACAAGTACTATAAGTGGCTACTGCTACTGATTATTGAAACGTCGAACTTATCAACTCCTCAGGTTCTTCATGGTCTCGGGATCAAAGGAAGCTACAAGTCTGTTGTGCCAGGCGGCTGCATCTCGCAAGAGAAAGACCTGCAAGGAGGCGACAGGCTTTTAATGAGGATGGACCGATATTAAGGCCAAGGAAGGCTAGGCTTTAGGAACTGGGGTTAAGCTACCGTGGTCGTCAGCAGCTACTGGTATTGGCCTTCGCATTCTGCTGATGATTTGCTGGTTTTCTCTGGCTGCGCCACCCTAAGCCCTGAGCCCTAAACCAGCAGTTGCTGGCCTGGAGATCCGATATGAGGCATTAAGAACAGGTTTAGGGTTTAGGGTGTAGGGTTTAGGGTTTAGGGTCCTAAACCCTAAACCCTAAACCTCTAAGAATCTTAACAAGAACGGGCCTCTTCGAGAGCGCCGAAGCCAGCCAGCCATTCTTGGAGCTTGTCTTCGGTGAAGTCCTGGACACGAGCCACTAGGGCTTCTAGGCTTAGTTTTTCGGGCGTAAAGGTTTAGGATTTGCGGGGTTAGGGACCCAAATCGCCCCAAGCCCTCAGCCCCAGACCCCTGGTGGGTAGCATATCCCTCTCCGCCCTGAACCCCAGCAAGACCTGAAACCGAACCCTCTTGGTTGAAAGGTTTAGGGTTAAGGTTGAAGGTTCTGGGCCCTAGAGCCATAGACGAAACCAAGCCTCGAGTGTTTCCATTACGTGTGTTTTTGGCTTTTAGGCTTCATCCGCTCATGGGGACGGGGCCGCGGCTATGAGGCGTTCGGGTTCCAGGCGGCTAAAGGCATTCCGGGCATTAACGTAGGGGCCTACATGGTTACCAATACTGTTTGAGGGTTCCTTATTATAATCATAGTATAATGGGCCCCAAAACCCTATTCTATTTAGTAAGGCCCCAATATCAAGCCTTAGCTGAAGGTGTGCAGCCCTTTGCGGTCGGGGGTTGCTACGATACTACATAGGGCATGCACTGGTGGGCGCTTTCGGCCGCGCCGCACCACGGAAAGCAGATTCGATTAGGGTTCGGGATTTAGTGTAGTGCTGTTTGCATGAATCATGACTGGCGCCTGAAGCGATCAGTATTCATCTAGCAGAACTTGTGTCCGTAGAAGGGAAGCCCAATTCCTAGTGTTGATGATCTAAATCCTGCATTACCCATTATAAAGAATATACCATGATTCTCATGGTTTAGGGTCCTCAAGGTAATGAAGGGTTTATATCATCAACAGTATGTCAAAACTATACCGGAAAACGACACGGAAGGTTCCTAATGTAGGAGCCAAAATAATTACCTATACTATTCTGGGGTTCTTTGTTATAGATATAGTATAATGGGCTCCAGCATGGGCCCCAGCACCCTATTAAAATTCTTAAGGCCCCTACATTATAGAACCCTTATAGTAGCCCTTATAGTATCCCCTTTAAAGGAACCCCATTCTATTTATTAAGGCCCCGGTTCCTAGCCAGGCAAGGCAGGGCTTCCTGGACTGAGCCCTCTCTGATCAAACTGACTTGGAGGTTCATGGGCAGTTATAAGGGGGATCTAGAAGGGCTCTTTAAGGGGTCCTATAAGGGGTCCTATAAGGGGTCATGGGCAGTTAAAAAGTAGGGTTATAAGTAGGGTAACTACAGTTATAACCTATATTAGGGGACTTATAACTCCACTTATAGCTACCCATGAACCTCCAAGTGATCAAACTGATGTCTCCGAAAGTACGCAAGGGATCGCAAGGGCCGAGAAGTTCAGCTTTGGGGTCCCGATTCCTAGCCATCCCGTGGGTACGTCATATAGGTTTAGGGTTTAGGGTTTAGGGTTTAGGGTTTAGCCATCCCGTGGGTACGTCATATAGGGGCCTTAATAGTTAGAAGAGGGTTTTGGGGTATATTCTCCTATAATTACCAAGGAACCCCAGAATAGCATACCTTAACCTACCAAAACCTACTTTTTTGTAGGTTCTTATTATCAACCCTAATATGGAATTTGTGGGGACCCTACAAAAAAAGTAGGTTTTGGTAGGTTAAGGTATCCCTTGTGCCCAAGATCCCGAGCGTCCAGGCGCCAACGAAGCCTTCGAACCCGAAGCCCTGGCCCTAACCGTCACACTCCGAACCCCAAGCCCTACCTCGGTTTAGGGTTTAGGGTTTAGTTTTTCGGGTTTAGGGTTTAGGGTTTAGGTTTTAGGGAGAGTCTCCTTTGTAGTTCCTTTTTGGGGGTTACATCCTTAATAGAGAAGTGGTTAAACCAAAAAAAGGAACTACAGTGGAGACTAGAGGTATAATTGAATAGTAGAGCCACTGCACACCACATAAAGTCATTCTACAACCGTTTCAAAGGCCCGTAGAACCCTGCAAAGACTTTCTAAACACACCCGTAAGCCCCAAACCCTTTACCCTGAACTTCCTGAACCCCGCAAAACACCAGCAACCCCCTGACCCCTAAACCTAAACCCTAAACCCTAAACCCTACAACACTCCGCGAAACTCCGCGCCTCTCTCGCAGAGAACTTCAGAGGAGCGGGCCAAAGCGGCGCAGGAGGAGAAGGAAGCGGCCCGAGGCGTGGGTTGAGTTTTCTTTTTGTTAAATAGGGCTTTATAAGCTTGTTTAGGGCTGTTACATAGGATTTGATATGACTTGTTGTAGGTTTTTTTGGGGTTTAAGTCTGTAGGGTGTTATGATTCTAGCCTTGGAGCGCCTTAGTGGCCCCAGGTCGGAGCCTTAAACTTGCGTAACTCTGAGCCTCAGCACCGGCAGAGGGTAGGGTTTAGAGTTTAGGGTTTAGGTTTAGGGTTTAGGGTTTAGGGGAGTTTAGGCTTCATGACTCACGGTATATGGGTAGTTCTCTAAATTAGGGTCCCCTTTGGGATCCCTTTCATAAGGGTGCCGTACTATATTTGGGATTGAAAGCGGGACCCTAATTTAGAGAACTACCCATATACCTTAGGATAGAGGATGCAGAGGAGAAGGCATCGGGAGAAGGGCAGAGGGCTTGGCCTTTTTTTTTGCCCGGTGCCAGGTAGCCAAGACGATGCTGGCGGCGACAGGTGGGTGCGGGGCCTCAGCCTTGCACCACAGGAATAGTGTACGTACCATTCTCATAGTCATAGCTGCTCTATCGAGTGTATATAGAGTATACTGCAGAATGTATGTATGTGTACTCACTTGTGCTCGCCCCACACAAGCTGTTCTTGAAGATCCCCAGAAAATGTCGAAGACAGGACAATCCTAAACCCTAAAACCTGAAAGCCCTAAAGCCCTACACCCTAAAACCCAAACCCTAAAAACCTCAAACCCTAAACCCTAAAACCCCTAAAGCCCTAAACCCTAAACCCTGAACCGTAACAACCTCAATCCCTAAAGCCCTAAAGCCCCTAAACCCTAACCCTAAAACCCCTAAACCCTAAAATCCTAAAACCCTAAACCCTAAAACCCCAAACCTTAAAAACCTCAAACCCTAAACCCTAAAACCCCTGAAGCCCTAAACCCGAAATCCTGAAAAGATCTCCGCAGTCCGAAGCCCAAGCTTAAACAGGCAATCCGCTCTCCCGAGACTGCCGACTCGAAGGTTCTAGGGAGCGGGTGTTAGGGTTTAGGGTTTAGGGTTTAGGGTTTAAGGGTTTAGGGTTTAGGGTTTAGGGTTTAGGGTTTAGGGTTTAAGGGTTTAAGGGTTTAAGGGTTTAAGGGTTTAGTGGTTCAGTGTTTAGGTTTTAAAGGTTTTTGGGTTTAAGGTTTTTTCGGGTTTCAGGATTAAGGGTTTAGGGTTTTAGGGTTTAGGGTTTAAGGGTTTAGTGGTTTGGGTTTATGGGTTTAAGGGTTTAGGAGTTTAGGGGTTGAGGGTTCAGTGTTTAGGGTTTAAGGGTTTGGGTTTTGGGGCTTAGAGTTTTAGGGTTTAGGGTTAAAGGGTTTAGGGTTTAAGGGTTCAGGGTTTCAGGGTTTAGTAGGGTTTCAGGGTTTAGTGGTTTGGGGTGTAGGGGCTTCTACAAGGGTTTGGGGCTAAGGGTTCAGTGCTTAGGGCAGTGCTTAGGGTTTAAGGGTTTAGGGGGGTCTGTTGGTGTTTAGGGTTTAGGGTTTGAAGTTTTAGCCTTAAGCCCTAAACCCTAAACCCTAAACCCTTGCGGGGTTTGGCGTTTGGGGCTGCTCTGCGGCTTTCGCTGCAAACGGCAAGAAACTTGACAATTGACCCGGCAGCCCAAAGCCGGCTCATACTGTTGATGGACAAAATCCTGCATGACCTTAAGGACCTTAAACTATGGGAATTATCGTATATTCCTTATAATGGGTAATGCAGGATTTTGTCCATCAGCAGTATCACCAGCAGATGGTTAGGGCTCAACAAACCCCAAAACCTAAACCCGAAGAGCTTAGTGACTTAATTATTAATTATGAAATTAGTGTTCAGGGTAAGGGTTTGGGGGTAGGGGTGCTTCGGAATGTTTCGGCTCAGCCATATGCAATAAACTGCTGTTGATACTCTCATCATAACAATAGTAATATCAATTCTCTCAGTCTTCTTCTCCTTATGCTTCATGTACTAGCACATTATTTCTGTTGTTATTCAAAGTTCGTATCATTGTTAGTATTGTTAGTATGAGAACGAGGATGATTATTATTCTCATCATTGCTACTGTTGATGGTGTAAACTCTGCATTACCTTATGGACCCTAAACTATGGGAAGTATGTTATATTCCTTATTATGAGTAATGCAAGATGTATATCATCAACCGCATGCTCCCTGGAATCCAGCCTTCTGAGGCCACGCCCGTGGGCGGCGGGGAGATCGGTGAGACGCCTGCGCCTTGGGGAACTTTTGGGGAACTTTTCGGGTCTGGAGAGTTTAGGTCTCAGGGTTCAGGGTTTAGGGTTTAGGGTTCAAGGTTTAGGGTTCAGGTTTTGGTCTGGATGCTTCAGGTTTTTGTGTTTAGGGTCTTTGATCTGAGGGTTTTGGGTTCAGGTTCTTGTGTATATGTTTAGGGCTTAGGGTTTAGGGTTTGGGGGTAATGGTGATCCGGGGTTTCCGGGTTCGAAGAGTCTTGTACCAAAGACTACTACGGCTTGGTCTTGCATTCGAGGCTTGCTTCGAAACTGCAGACACGAAGCACACCAGCGACGCAGCTTGTGTCTGTCACGCTGGCACTGGGTCCTAGATGCCGGCCTTTTGTTCTAGCTTCCGTTCCAGACCGGAATCGGAATACCTCGACCTTTTGGGTTGGGGGAGTCGGACCCCAAACCCTAAACCCTAAACCCTCGGTTCCAGCTAAGCCTTCCTCGTTTCTCCACAACGCCCAGCAGAAACTAATAGAGGCTGTTTACTCAGAAGACCTCTCAGAGCCCTTACACAATGTAGTGTTTACGTCGGCCTACAAGGATAGAATAATCATGAATAATCTCTACGGGACGCAGAACAGAAATGAAAATGCCATACTGGATCGAGATCACAACGCAAAGGCATTATCA